AGCAAGAACGCTCATTTGTACATCATTCTAGAGAGAAATAAATGGCCTTTTTAGAAAGTGGACCATCGATAAGCAAATGTTGGCAGTTTTCTCAAAAAATGCATTTCAAATGCATGCCAAGGCTTAAAGCAGCAACAACACTACACATAAGAACTGATGATGGTGAAAAAATTAACCGAAACGTATTTTGATTGATAAATAGAGACAATAAATGACTGAAACCCAGGAATGAATTTGAGTTGTATTTTGTTACAGCTCAAAAAAACGCCAACTAGTTGCAAGCTTACGCAATGCAACCGCTCTGGACGTTTAAAACATGAAAACAAACCTAAAACTACAAGCACTAAACTCAGAAAAAGAAACATCAACTGATACAACGTTAAAAGCTTCAATAATTGAAACTGGCAAACTTGTGACGTATTCCCGCGCGCTCTCCCATTGGTCCAAAGTTACCGGGCAACTTGTTCAATTTAGAAACCTTGTCCACGGTTAGTTTTACATTCATAGGTTTACGCGACGCTGCCAGATGGCGGCTTGAAGTGAGGTTAGACTTGTTTAACCTCACTGTTTTAATGCGATTTTTTAAACAATTTACTCGAATTCAAATCCAGTTTACACTTTAGTGATTTTCTATGTATCTTTACATATATTTCTGGATTTACTATGAACTTGATTAAACTGTGCGATGCGATATTAATGCGAAATCGACCAGTCTACAAGCCAGCCATGAGATTTTACAAGGATTTGGCTTTCGAAGATATTCCTGAAGTTTCTACCCCGTTAATTAAGAAAACGCTGAGTGCGAACGGCATAAGTTTTGAAGAAGGTCATACCTGTTTCATTTCGAAATGCAACCTGTTCAACAATTGCAATACGGATGATAAGGCCAAGTTATATATTAATAAAACTACTGGTAACTGGAATAACAAGCAATGTGCGCCGGGTACCTATAACTGACAATTTCAGGATTCTATATGTGCAGCTTATGTAAACATTCGGGCCAATGGGGCCAATTTGCCGCGTCATTAAGTCTCAGAAAAGCCAAGAAATCGGAAGCCAAAAAGAAAAACGACAACGACTTCAGTGAGCTCAGGGAGTTAAATGAATCTCTTGAAATCATTACACAAAGCACCCAAGAGCTTAAGTCCTTCGACAATGTGGGATTTGTCAACATCTTCAATAAGTTTAAGCTACCAGTAAGCCCCTATAACTGGTATTTTTCATTGCTGTCCTAATATTCATTGTTTTGTTTCAGATTATTGCGCATTCTCTATTAGAATCACTAGATATAAGAATAAATAGTGAACAGACTATACTTTATTTTCCATTACGAAACGTTGAAAATGAAATAGTGGGGTATAGGACTTTAAACTCAAGTACACATCAGGAAAGCACTCTACCAAACATACAATATGGGGGCCTTCTAATGTTTCGCCCGATTCGTTCCAGAGATACTGCGATTCTAGTTCCGACCATCTCTGATTTTTTAGTGCTTTCAAACTCCAAGTTATCCGCTAGTATAGTGTGTTTGCCCAATGGTGTGAACACTTTATCGCAATACGTGTTGCCTAGTTTAGAGAAGTTTAAAAAGATCATCCTGTGGTTAGGCAGCGACAACAAAGCGTGGGATTCCTCCAGGAATTTTGCAAGGAAATTGGGGGAGAAACGATGTTCTTTAATTAAACCAAGTGAACAGTTGCCGCACTTGCAAAACGTCCAGGATTTTAAAGCCATTATTGCTGGATCGCATGTTATGTGGCATAAAAGTATCACCACATTTGGAACCTTAAGAGCAGAAGTTTTATCAGACTTACAAAACATCGATAAGGTAACGATTGTCATTATGAGGAATTTTACTTCAATGTTCAACGCTGCGAAAGGGATCATCACTTGGTTTATGCCTACAACTACAGTGTGTCCCAAGCATTTTTACAGTGACGCAATATCTGTATTTTTCTATTATTCCGGGTTTCAGGCAGTGTGAAATAATTTTTTATATCGTTTATTCCTTGACGTTTTGGCGAAACAACATCTGATTGAAAATTCATACAAATAGAAAATTTGTTCTTATATTCTTTCCCTCCGGGGTTTCAGTCTAAGTGTGAAATAAAAATTTTTACGGCGTTTATTTCATTACGTTTCGGCGAGGCAACAGCGCCATCATCAGATTTAAAATTCATACAACTCATAATTGGGAAACATTAGATTCATTTAGGTCGTTTTTGAAAAGAAAAATTTGCGGTTCCAAGACCTAAAAGAATCTAATGTTTTCCAATTATGAGTTGTATTAATTTTAAATCTGATGATGGCGCTGTTGCCTCGCCGAAACGTAATGAAATAAACGACGTAAAATTTTTTATTTCACACTTAGACTGAAACCCCGGAAGGAAAGAATATAATAACAAATTTTCTATTACTTTACCAAGTTGTCAGAAGGCAAGTTTTTTGGGCGTAAAATACAGTGTTTAAGGTAGGGCTCGGAATTTATTAAAAATCTGATATTCGAATATTCGTTTAGTGGTTTAGTCGAATATTCGAGTATTTCTATTCGTATTCGTTAGATATTCGAGTTCACCGTTTTCCAAGAAGAAAAATCGTTATCTCATATAATTTTTGGCAACTAGCCGCAACGGATAAAAAAGTGCCTTTGTCTGCACATTAATTGTAATACCGCGCAAAAGTTGATCACGCGTATCACCAGAACACAGACAGGAGACTAAATATGATTATTTTCATTTGCTTGTAAATATATGGGTATTTGTTTAAATGCTTGTAGAATATGAATAATTTATTTTATAAAAGTATACAAAGTGCAWATAAAGATATTTGCACCTTGTGAGTTTGATAATGTTGGTGTATTCGAGTATTCGAATATTCGAGTTATGACTACACATAATTATTCGATTTTTGAATATTCGAGTTTGATTCCGAGCCCTAGTTTAAGGTACTGCTTATATACTAAACAACCTGTAGAAACCCATACTAAATGTGGTAATACAAATCATTCAGTTGGACATAGTTGGGACGTCGTCGGTTAGCTAAATTTGATTTATGGAATTTTGATTTTTTTTTGTGAAATAGGTGCAAGGTGTGCGGTGGAAGCGATTTCCCACACTCAGCAAAATCCTGATGGGACACCGACGTGGCGAACTGACGGTTTTAACTGGTTCCACTGGATGTGGAAAAACCACTTTTGTTAGTGAATACTCATTGGATCTGGCTATGCAAGGGGTAATTATTTTAATTTAAAATTTTATCATTATCAGTTGAATAAGACTATCTTAGGTGAGCACGCTCTGGGGAAGCTTTGAAATAAGAAATGCTAGATTGGCCAGGACAATGTTGCAACAGATGGCGGGGATTCCCTTAGGTGAAAATCTACACTTGTTCGATCAGTTAGCCGATGAGTTTCAAAAATTGCCAATTTACTTCATGACGTTTCATGGTCAGCAAACCATTAAAATCGTGATGGAGGTAAACTGCTAATGGTCACCTTTGAGACTCGATAGTGTGCTAATGATTGCAGGCAGTTGAACACGCTACGTACATACATGACATTGCTCATGTAATAATTGATAATGTCCAGTTCATGATGGGCATCTCAGAAGAGCAGAAACACATGGACCGATTTTGGAAACAGGATACTATTATTGCCGCTTTTAGAACGTTCGCCACTAGGATGAACTGCCATGTGACTTTGGTGATTCACCCAAGGTAGTGTTATTTTACTTAATAATTGTTCAAGTAGCCCGGGCAAACATTTCGTAGGAAAGAAAGAGATGACGAAGACTTAACCACAAGTTCAATTTTCGGTGGCGCAAAAGCGTCGCAAGAAGCTGACAACGTATTGATAATTCAAGATAGAAGACTGACCGCTATTAAAGGAAAAAAGTACTTGCAAGTAAGGCATCTTTGCATTAAAATACAACCTTAATTTAGCGATTATGTTGTTTCAGGTGGTTAAAAATAGGTATAGCGGCGATTTAGGCATTATGACACTAGAATTCAACAAAAAGGCCTTAAGTTATGCGCAAAAGAAGCCAAAAGAAAAAGCAATTGAAACCCGCCCAGAAGTTTCCGAATTTGAAGAAACCAGTTAATGGAGTGTTTTAATATCAATGAGTTGTAATCTACTTGAAAAGTTGCCACCGTATACAGGGTGGCCATTTTCTGAATCTTTCTATGGGTAACTTCTACATTTTTAAAGATAGAGAATCCGTTAAATGGGAAAAATTGGGCAGAATTCGAATGCCTATTCATTACCATTTGCAATACTTAGGTACCGGACTTGATTCTTGAAATATCCTGAAAAGACAAGCAATCAACACTTTTTTAATTATCACATAATTCGTAAAGTGCTTAACTTAGAAAAAAAGTTAAAACTGCCCTTAGTACAACTTTTTGCGTTGATTTAATAAACTAGCCTTCGTTGTCATAGTCAACTTGATTTACGAAATAAAAAATAAACTTATGTTTTTTTTAAATAGTAATCATAGTTGGCTGTGGGCCTTTTCAAATTCTTATTTTTTTCTGAATTGAACGATATAACTGTTTGTATGTTTTTCTCCTTTTGTTGCCGTAAAACTTCAAAATAAGGTAAAAAATGTGTAGTAGGCTATGGAAACAAGATCTATATTATCACACAAAGCACAAAACAAAAATGAAATAATTGACAGACACAATCATGTTGACTGGGCTAATGAACATCATCTAATTGAGAATAGGCGAGATCAACGTGTTTTTTTTGGGAATGTTTGGTGAGGCATTTTTAGTGATAATTATTGGTCCATTCTTTTATAATCACAATTTACATATGGAAAGATATTTACACTTTTGAACTTGAAGACATGTTGAATAGTTTTCCGTTAGTATCGTATCGAAAATTGGCATATTTTCATCATGATAGTGCACCTTCACACAACTCACGAGTTGAATGTGAAGATGCCAAAAAATGCCTGGGCGTAAACGGAAGTCAATTTGAACGATTCGTTATTGTTTTTTTTATTGTTTATTGTTTATTCATTTTTATGTTTTATCTCGTAAATCAAGTTGACTATGAAACGAGTGCTAGTTTATTGAATTCAACTCAAAAACTTCTACCAAAGACAATTTTAACTTTTTCTCTAATTTAAGCAGATTTCGAATTATATGATAATTAAAAAAGTGTTAATTTCTTGTATGTTCATGATATTTCAGGAAGCACGTCGGGTACCTAAATTTTGAAAACGTAATGAATATGCAATTAAATTCTGCCCAATTTTGCCCATTTAACGGATTCTCTATCTTCAAAAATGTAGAAGTTACCCATACAAAGATTCAGAAAATGACCACCCTGTATGTAGCAGTTGTTTGAAAAGATCTGAAATGGTGCTTTTGTCTTTGATGGAATCTTTACTTAATTACTGCTGAACGGGAATAACTGAGTTTTTACTAGTTCCAGATTACCAGTAAAAAGCAATAAAAGCATTTAAACTTGGGTCTACAGAGCTTATCTAAGCGCCATTACAGGTTGTGATTGGTGCCATATTATGATCTACATATTTTTATATGTTTTAGACTTTATAAATAAATTGATCAGTTAACATACGAGTTTAAATCGATAGCAATCGCATCCAATGGTCTGCAAGAGATTGCTACGAGTTATTTTTTGCTCGTTACTTTTTTCAAGCTAGACCAAAAATATTTGTTAGTTTCATTAAAAAAAACTATTTTTTGCAACGGAATCATGAAAAAAGGGGCCAATGAAGTCAAAGTTTAGATATATCTAAACTCCAAAAAAGTATACTTATTATGGATAAGCTGCTGATTGAAGAGTAATCAAATTTACGATTGTTCTAATCGACCACTGCAGATCTCAAGTTAAAATACAACAAAAGTCGCTAAACAGCAATAATTATCATGCAACAAAAAAATTTAGGTTAAAATAATTATTGATTTTTCCTATAAGAAAATATGCATATTTCAATGGAATGCAATTCATGCAATTAAGAAATACATGTGTTTCTTTTTTTCTAAGAAAAACATTGTGTTTCTTTTTCTGTTTTTCTTCTTTTTTATAATTTATTTTATTAATACAAAGTGTTGAAAACGATATCATGCAAGTTCAGTCTCTTCTTTCGTATAAAAAATTTGCGCTTTTTTCAAAAAAGCTGGTTTCAAACTAGGTCAGCTTTCTTCACAAGGCTTATGTAGGCCCTGCCTTATGCAGTAGATAGATTGGGAGTGATATTTGAATCGAAACGCCGCAGATATTAATAGGTGAGATATAGTTGGCGTTTTGGTTGAAGTTGCAACTTGAGAAGTGGCGGATAGAGTTCGCCACAGTACTAAGTTGATTAATGTCAAAACTGTATTTATAGGTTATGCACTGTATTCGTGTATTTATAAACATTTCCAACTTTTATTTGATAATTTTGCCACAGTGTCCTATTTTGATAAGCCTAGTCTTACTGAAGCGAAGTTAAATTGAAAACTTTAGCAATACTGCGGGAGATATTGGCAACAAAGCATTCTCCATTCTGAAAAGTTCAAACCGTAATGTTCATTATTGTAAAGCTCGATAACGGGCTGCAGGAAAATCAAGATGCAATTTAAAGACATTTTTCTAGTCCTGCTAGTCTTTGCCCCAACAGCGTTAAGCCTGACATTCAAAGAACCTACTGTTTTAGTGTCAGTTTTGGTTCGGAATAAGCAACACACTTTACCTTATTTTCTATCAAATTTGGAAAACCTTAACTACCCTAAAGGCCGTATGTCCATATGGTAAGCATCTAAAACATTTAAGAAATATCAACTGGTCTTTATTCAAATTATAACTTCATAAGGGATCCCTTCAACAGTTCAAGATTAAAGAAAATGTACACGAAACCTTGGTAAATAGCAAACTCAAAAAACTCGCAATTGCTGCTTATGGGTGAAGTCATACTGCCCTCAATATGACTTCAGCCATCAACAGTTCGCAAAAGAACAAATTTGCTTTCCAAATTTCACCTCTCCAAGGAAGGTAAACGTCATGTTATGCATGATATACATTTTAAGCTTTGAAGAGCACATTTTATAAACTAACCACAAATCCGCTGTAACGCTGACATGCCTGTCAACAAGTGATGGATGCAAGGTTAATTTCTTTACCAGGGTCATTTAATTACCGGATATTATAATTTTAGGATTCGCAGCGACCACAATGTAGATAGAAGTATATCAATTCTGAAGTTGTGGATCGACTCAGTAAAAGATGCTTATCATTCTCTTTATTCGGAATTCGATGAAGATGCTTCTTCATATCCAGGTATGAGGGAGGATACATGAAACTGTTTAAGATTAACTGAAAAATGTACGTTATAAAAATGCAAAAATATACTTTTCTGATGATTTTCTTCATTTTTGACAATAATGTTGCCAAAAATTACAAAATTGATTATTTTTTTACAAACTTCTTTTTGGGTATTTTGCCTCAAAAATTTTTGTCTTTAAAAAAGACAAAATTTCCTCACGTCTTTTATTACAGATTGATAAATAGTGCTCCTATTTCGCAATAAGAACGAATTATTTATCAAAAAGGAATCAAGAACTATCACCTAGAGGGTATCCTGCGACACACTTAGGCGCAAGCTGTAAGAGAAAATTCCAATTAGTAAAGAAATTAATTTGAAAAATTACCTTGCCGTTCCGATAGCTATTTTCTGCTATCGTTATCAAAAGAACCTAAATGAACCTAAAAAAGAGTATGTTAATAAATTGTGTAACAATAATAGGATAATACAGTATATGAAAATTCGCCGTGATAATTCGTCTGTGCAAATTGTCAGTTATGTAAATTATTAAAAAAGAAGTTTGTAAAAAAAATGAATCCGCCTCAACAATATAGAACTTATCTACAAAATTGATTATGCTAGAAATCTCGCCTCATTAATCTATTTGCAGAGAACATTAGAAAACCTCTTTGAGCTTCGAATTTGGCACCAAAACCAAATCATTTTATTCAGTTTTTTGCCGAAAGCAATTAAGATTATCTTGAAAAAACGGCCAGAGAGTAAAAAAATTTCAGGGCATTTCAGTTTTCGCAAAGTTTCTATTAAGCACTTCTTGCTACGCAAAACCCGTATTATTTTTGCTTTACTTAAAATATTGACACTCGGCCCCTGAACAGCGTTGTAAATTTTTTTCTGGAACCTTTTGCAGCTTGGAATTTTGTACAAAACCCTAATACTTTTTTCTAGATTTTTTCCCAAGAATATTTCGCCGAACAGAACAAGTGAACGTTTTTTATTCGGAAAACTCGTCACTTTTGCCGTTGTGAATCACTTGATTTATTTAAATTCCGGTTTATTCACTTTTAGGTCAATATTTCTACACAAAACGCGTTTTTTCTAACGTTTTACTGTAAAATACTGGCAAACTGTTAAAACCTCATTCCTCATAAAATGACCAGAGAAAGCAGAAGCATTTAATCAATATTTCGAAAACTCGCACCCTCATCGCTCTGCAATTTTTTTGAGTATCTTCAAAATTTCCGCATTTTACCCCGTTTGCCATCGTATGCGTAAAAGCCATCAATAGATTGCTCATTAACCAATGAGTTAAAACTCATTAACTCAGAGAGCGGCAACAACTCAAAAGCGCAACTCAACACAGTGCTACCGAGGCCTACCTTACATCTTAATTTTTATCTGTTACTTTAGGAGAAGTGGGTTTGGCCCATTGGACGGATGAACGGTTTTCCCATATGATGTCTCTTCGAGACAACGCCTTAAATTACGCAAGAGAAAATTGGGCAGATTATATTCTGGCAAGTAAAAGTCATTAATTATTCGAACATTGTGTTGAATGACGAAAAATTTGGGTTTAGTCTATAGATGCTGACGTCTTTTTAACAAACCCAAACACCCTCACTTATCTGATCTCAAAAAATCGAACTCTAGTTGCACCAATGTTGTATTCTGAAGGCCTGTATTCAAATTTTTGGCATGGTATGACTGAGGATTATTACTACCTGAGAACAGACGAGTACAAACCAATTTTGGAAAAGGAAAATGTTAGTTGCTACAGTGTGCCTATGATTCACAGCTGCGTTTTGGTTGACCTCAGAAGATCAGAATCCGATTTTCTTACTTACAGGTTGGTTACCGCTTGGATGGTTCTTTTGCTTCAATAGATTAGACTATTTCGACCAATCGAATGTTTCCACCTTTCACCGTTTTTGCTTATTATGAATTGATAGCGAGTGCTCTTTTTATATAAAGAACTAATTCTTTATGTTAATGTTAACTTGGCGTGTAGTTGGAATATGCATTAAAATGTACGGCATTTCAATTAAAAACGTGTTAAATTTGTCTTCCCCTTGAATTTGAGACACCCTGTATCAATTGGTATGATTTTAAAATAAGCTAGACATTGATATTTATAACTTTTGTTTTTACTGTTTTTCGCTACTTTTCAGAGTAGATGTAAAAGCGGAGTGGGCCAAGTTCATTCAATAAATTTTAGGTAAAAACTTTCACAAAAAGCCTGCACATTCAATTTCGTTGTAAAAAATGCTCATTTAAAAATAATAAAATACTTTTGCGATTATTTGTCTGACAATTTCCTGAATTTTATTCGAATTTATTCCTTTGTTGACGCTGAATAAACATCGAAAACAAATCAATGCAAAAGTTTTTTTGACTCAAAATTCCTTGTAGAAAATTAAACGTGCATGAAATTATAATTTAAAATTCAATAATTTAACATGTTTTTTAATGGTTCCTTTGCTAAACATTTTGAAGTATCTCATTGAGCGCTAAGCGTCCAAAGCGTGTTCAATGTATTTAAGGGACGATTGATGTGTTTTCATTGGTTTTATTTATTCAGTAACATTTTTAACTAACAGTGTCGCTTTAGGTCTGATAAAATCGAAAATTACGACGGCCCTCATGATGATATCATTGTATTCGCTCTGTCTGCTAAGAAAAACAATATTAATTTATATATTTGCAATGAAGACCACTTCGGCTACATTACTGTACCTTTGGAACAAGAGGACGATAAAAGTTATGACCTCGAACATTTACGCAACATTAAAATGGATATTCTGAATTCAGGTATGAATTATTTTACTATATGTGAGTTAAGGATACTGTATTTTTATTTTTTGCCTCTCTCTAGCCGCTTAGATGCATCCGACCTTTTTTATACTAATGGTATTTGTCATTATAGTACTTGCGATTCTTGCAAATTTCATTTTGTACTCCTTATAAAATAATTAAAAACTTTGTTGCACATATGAACCATTAAGTCTTTGTGTTACTTAACTTATTACATATTTTAAGGCTTAAATTCCTTAATATCACATTTCACGAATTAATATTCGTATAATTTGTGAATTTAATTTAAGGACAATCTCTGTATGTAAATGATTTGTTGAAAGAATACACTGATCTACCTAGAAAAGACACGATGATGTTTGACAATATTTTTATGATCAATTTGAAAAGAAGGCCAGATAGACGAAAGCGAATGAATCAGTGCTTTGACGAGCTCGGTTTGAAAGTTCAAACAGTTGATGCTGTTGATGGAAAGTATGATATTAGTCAATATTTATCTCTAAAATTAATTTGTCTGGTATTGGTTTTTCCAGAGCCCTAAATGAAACATTTTTGCAAACCCTAAGGTTTATGCCCGATTTCAAGGATCCTTACCATAAAAGGTATGTTATTTTCTTATACAGATTAATCAATCTTAAGGTGCTGATATTTTCAAGGCCAATGAAATTAGGAGAAATCGGTTGCTTTTTAAGCCACTATCACGTTTGGGAAGAGGTAATTTCAAACGTGGCAAGGTATTTTTAAATATTTAAGTATAGCTTTAGCTATTTACAGATTGTGCAACGTGGTTATCAGTCCACTCTAGTACTCGAGGATGATATTCGTTTCGAAGGGTTTTTCAAGTCGAAAGTTCATAGCGTAATGAATGAGGTTTTGAAAATTCTCAATTGGGATTTGGTGTAAGTAATGTTTTAATAGTATTTTATCCTACTTCGACATCTAGCCATTATGCAAAGCAATATGAAATTTCCATTGAGACTCAAGGAATCAAACAATGATCCACACCACCTCGGTAACACATTTCACAGCATTTCAGTAAAACTGACCAGTTACTCTATGAAATTAAATAGTTACAGACATCAAAAGGAAAGTGAATTCTCTCACTAAGACACTTTTAACATTGCAAGTGGCACACAGGTGAGAGTCTCATTTGTGTAGCTTCAACAGATCACGGTTTGCACTTAAACAGACAATTGCCTCACGAAAATGGATATTTCTCAGGCAATTCCCTAAGACTAATACTACGTTGTACCATAGATCATCAACAGATTTACTAAAAAAGGATACAGGCAGTAGACTGCAAAAATTAAATTGAATAACGCCCTCTAAATAAATGGCCATGATAGTCATGTTCCATGTTCTGCTTAGTTAAAAATGTGTTTTTTTAAGTGGTAACTCCTTATGGCACTGTCCAAACCCATCGGAATGCGTTACGTCGCACGCACTGAATATAATAGTGTGTAGTCACTGTGCCGTTCTTGTGATTATAATAGTGTGTAGTCTGTGGGCCGGCGTCCTTACATAGTCCGCACATCGCGATTTCTGACTAACGCAGTTCGGGCGGCCAAAACGACCATAAATTACTATTCATTCTAAGTGGAGATTTTTCTTCTGATAGGGCTGAGAATTTAACGTAATTTCTTGAATCAAGGTTACAATTAAAGATGATAAACAATCCAGAACAAGCTACAATCGAGCAAGTTAAAATCGAGTGCCACAATTCGTTATTACAGTTCATATATGTATAAATTGTTCATCATAAATCAATTCGTCACTTTCAGTAAACTGCAACTATTGAAGAATGTTAAATGTAAATAAAATATACATTTTACATTCAAAGGTAAATTAAATTACATTTTACCTATTTCTGATCCAATTCTAAATTATAATCGCCATCATGCGATTCAATACAACAACAAGTTCAATGTTTTATGGTTTCTATAAATAATATGAAGTTATCACTTTGACGCACACATTTTTTTAGATATTTTGGACGCAAAAGGCTGCAAGAGAAGGATGAGCCTTGGATAGAAGGAGCTCGATATCTAGTTGAAGCAGGGTATTCATATTGGACATTGGGATATGCCCTAAGCTTAAGAGGTGCAAAAAAATTGTTAGAGGCCGAACCCTTGACGAAACTGGTAAACACTGGCAACCTGAACGCCGTATGTATAAATGCTAGCTACTTCTTGTAGGTGCCAGTGGATGAATATTTGCCTATATTGTTCGACAAACATCCCCATCAAAATTGGAAGGGGTATTATCCCAAAAGAGATTTAGTAGCTTTATCTGCGGCCCCTTTACTTCTCTATCCTACTCATTACACAGGAGAAAAGGGCTACGTTAGTGATACAGAAGATTCTATTATTATACCTGAAGCCATAATCGCCAAAGAAGATCTGTGACATTTCATATGTGAAATCTCGCAATCGAATGAGTCACTGAAATTTGATTTATTCATATTTCAATATTACTGCCATTTAATGTTGTTGCCTATAACTTGCTATTGTGATTCTCAGTGCCATGCGAGCTAAGATTATCTGCATCTAACATTTACGTTACTAACCCAGCTGTTTTTATAAAATGTGCCTTATTATGAAGTAAGTTGTTTCTAATTAAATGTTCTATTTTATTTTGTTTGTCTTTTTTCTGAAATTTTTTTCTTTTCGAAATCAGACAAAAACGCCCGCTAAGTTCTCACTGACTTGCTTAGGCCTGGGTAACACAGTTGATTTTCAGGCGTTCACACAGCGATATCGATTCGGTTTGCCGTATTGATAAGATAAGATAAAACGGCTTAAATTTTACATTCTTTTCAGGTCACGGACGCTATCAATGCATCGAACTATATGAAAAACATGGTAGAAGTTTCAGATCCAAAATAATAGACATTTTCGGCACATTTTAAGCGTTTTTTGAGAGATTACTACCTACCTTTAGCCGACGATTTCTTCCTCATTATTGACCCAAACACTTCATAAATTCATATTTGTGAGCTCCTTATGTCGAGAAGAATCGGTTGAGCTCAAAATGCCTTGAATCTTACATCATTTTCATCTTACGGACGCGAGGAATGCATCGAACTCATTGAAAAACATGCTAGAAGTTTTAGATCCGAAATAATAAAGATTTTCGGCACATTTTAAACGTTTTTTGAGCGTTCACGATCTTTATCCGACGATGTCTTCTTTATTATTGACCACACACTTTATAAATGCATATTTGTGACGTTCTTGCGCCGAAAGGAATCGATTGAGCTTAAAAAACACGCGTGTTAAATTTTGATTTTTGGCCGAGATTTTTCCAAGATTTTTTGAAAAAAGAAAATTTTCTCAAAATCTCTCAAATTTTACCTTATTTTCAGCTCACGGACGCGAGCAATGCATCGAACTCATTGAAAAACATGGTAGAGGTTTCATATCAGAAAAGGAATCGTTTGAGCTCAAAAAAACCCCAGCTAAATAAAAATACTGACAATCTGGAGGTCTTTTTTTTGAAAAAAAAATTTTTTCAGCCTCTAATTCGAGACAAAACGAAAATAAGTTCCTTTAAGCGTTTTTCCTCGAAAACCATTAAGGTTTTCTCCAAAACGGATCACAAAACTAAAAGTTTTTAATCGAAAACGTAAATGTGGATGGGCGCTCGCCCAACCCCGCCCACCTCTAGCGCCGCCATTGGTTAATTGACTCGCTCAGTCATAAATAAGTAAAAAAACCTCTTCTTTTTTATAGAAAATAAATAAAATAGTTGTTTCCTTGTCTTTTCTAGTCCCACTCGTCGTGATAAACGGCAACGTCGGATTTAAAAAATTCCTATGTTTAGCTTCTGCTCCACGAACACAGTTTTGTCAATTTTGCAATTAACCTATTTGCTGCTATTTGGTCAAAATCATAACAAAAATGTCGTCGTTGAAATCTATTTGGAATTGTTTATTTTCCCCAAGATTGATCCAAATTTATGGCACCGGTGCAGAGGTTTGTTAAAAGC